CGGGCCCGTTTTGCTACTAAAAAAAGTTATTTCACCTGGTAGATTTTCCGTATTTTTCCAGTAAATCCGATCGTTGAATCAGTTACAGTTGTAAACATATTTATATACAAATGAGTATCCTTATTCACCGACAAGAACCGTCAAGGACCGACAAGAACCCATGTTTTGTTAATAAACATGTACTCGTACATATTTGATAAATGCAAGGCTTATTTATTGTCTTTTAATCTGAGTGTTTGTTCTTTGTTTCGTTTTATTTTATATATAGAAAATTAAAAATATGGTGTCTGACAAGAAAAAAAATCTTATGCAACGCGTGTACTGTAACGTTCATACCGACAAGAAACCTTTCGTAACTTTATATAATCAGTTGCAAAATTTGTGTTGAAAGTTTTTTATGATCATGTTTCCACTTTTTCATTGAAGACATTGTATGAATATCTATGACTACCGACCGGAAGATGTGTTTTCCGTTAACCAATACATTCGGAGATTGGCGACTCTTTTCTAATATTTCATTGTAGATTGTAAAAATTTTGGGTGCTGTTATTTTTGTTGCAAGACATGAAATAAACATGGGGATTTAGTAAGAAATGTACTGTTAAAATTAGAACTGTATCATGACCAAGGAAATATCTTTTATATCAAAGATAAGGCATCCTCAGTAACCCAGGCCGTATACCGGTATCGGTATTAAAAAGCAATATTTACGGATAGTATACCGTGGGTTCTGGCGATGAGAAATAAACAATTAAAATAATTTAAATATGCAAGGACTGCGTATAAATTACTTATTCTTCATGTTAAAATAAAAGCATATCCACGGTCATAGACTTATGTAAGTTTTTTTGTTTGTTTATTTTTTTCTTTTCTTAGATTTACTTATTCTGACCCCCGCATTACCCCGCAAACCACGGATGACTGATTTTAACTATAATATGACTGCAATCGTCGGATTTTGGTCCGCGGTGGTAACAAGTAGACACCGTGAATCGCGGGGGAAATGATCGTTTTATCGCGGACCTCCACCGCGTTTGTCCGCGGCAGAAAAAAAAACGTCCGCGGTGGTATCGCGGAAAAGGCAAAAGCCGCGGTGAGCGTACTGTACATCCCTCGAAGATTTTTTTATTAAACTTTGCACCGCGCCCCCGCTAATAAGCGTGTTTTTGTCCCTCGAACCCGCCGTTTTATTTCTTAAATCTCGCCCCGCACCCTCGCTAATTAGCGCCTTTTTTTCCGCGCCCACGTCATTTTAACTTGTTAATTTTCGACTTTTCGCTTGGCGGGGGTTGCGGAGCGAAAGCACGAATGACACAAATCAGCCACCATAGTTTATGCAAAATGGAAAATGGTTGTTGATATTTTCATTTTCAGCTGATGTATTCTTTTTGCAATTGTATATTGATTAAAAAATACAAATAATCAGCATCTAAACTTCAGTAATTGTTTTGAACAATTTTGGTTTAAAGTTAAAATTTCATTTCCGTTTATTCATTAAATAACTATTGCTGAAATTCATTAGGAAAATGTCAGGAGCCATTTTCTCCTACCAAATGGGGAATTGTTACTGAAAAAAAAATATTTTAATGGCAGCTGTGGCTTTCCATAATTTTAATTAAGCGGAAACATCGTGCACGCGCGTTTTTATTCGGTTGCGTTTAGTTTTTACCGTATATGTTTAACTTCCTGTATTATATCGGTTAAACTCGACAATTTCCGTCACTGATGTACATTATCGAGCTCACCCATGCAAAATCGTGAACACTGGTAACCCGATCTGTGTTGTACTACTGTCCAATTGCTTTGTTTGTTGTATACGTTTCTTTGTGAGAAAGAAATTCATTTGTTTTTTTAAATAATCTTAACTTCTGCGCACTGTTGCTTTTCCTGTCCCGCTCACTCTTTACAGTCATCTCTTACGAGTAAGACGTATAGTTAATCAATTAATTCATTTACCATTATTTTCAGATCTACATTTACTTTATTTCAATTTATATTGAAATATTTCATAAGTAAATATCTTTTATACAGACGCTGTGGTAAGGAATAATATTATTAAGATCAATTTATTTATTGTAGTTCTTATTCCGCGTCGATTGTGTATCTATTGTTATTTCATTGTGTTGTTTATATGTATTGTATTTGTAAGATGTATAATTATTTTATTATATATTCTAACACGACCCGCATTTTTCCCTATTGAACATAGAAGAACCGAAAGTGTGTGTTATTATGCTTTAGTGTCCAACTTTATTTGTCATCCAATGAAAACGCTGTATTTCTGTGCGTTTAATTTTCATAGAAGAACAAAAGTCGATACTATATCGAATTGTCCTTAGTGTCCAGCTTTATTTGTCATCCAATGAAAACGCTGTATTTCTTCAAAATTATGTGCGTTTATTTTCATAGAAAAACAAAAACCGATACTATATCGAATTTCGTTCATAGTCGACTTCTATTTTTCATAGTACTTCATAAAACCGCATAGTGACGTAATAAAGTAAATAATAATGAGGCCAAATAAAGCTTGACACTAAGTATGTTAGTATTCATCCTTAGCTGTTCTACAGAAATTAGAAACATTCTCCTGTCGCTATCGCTCCCGTCGAAGTTTCTAATTTCTGTAGAACAGCTCGGATGAACACTAACATATACATAGTCGACTTCTATTTTTCATAGTACTTCATAGAACCGCATAGTGACGTAATAAAAAGAATGATAATGAGGCCAAATAAAGCTTGACACTAAATATGTTAGTATGCATCCGTGCTGTTCTACAGAAACTAGAAACATTCTCCTGTCGCTATCGCTCCCGTCGAAGTTTCTAATTTCTGTAGAACAGCACGGATGAACACTAACATATACATAAAATCACTGTTTGACGTTCTATATTAAGACATGTGACGTAATCATTATACACGTGAAGTAACCACTTAAAATGTGACGCGCTGACAATTAGTACGGAAACAAATCAGACATAATTTAGGTTAATATCAAGTACGGCAACATTATTTGTTGATGTCGTGTTAGAAGCCAAATCGCAGATTTTATTGCTTGATAACATCACTGTTTGTCGTTCGGATGCGCATCATTATATCACTCGGGCTACGCCCTCGTGATATATTTTCCCGCATCCGAACTCCAAACAGTGATGTTATTGAGCAATAAAATCACAGTTTGGGATATATTATTTCTAAACTAGACCATTTTAACTTGAACATCGAACCTACGCCCAGAGTTTGTTTCTGTATCCCCTAAGTCCAGAAATATTTAACCCTGCGACCAGAGCTGCATTACTGGTACTGGTACTGCAGTAGGAGGCCTTTGTACTGCAGTATTTTTGCAAGTACAGATACTGATACTGAATTACTCTCACAAAATGTTGCTACTACTGGTACTGGTACTGCATTACTGTCTTATAAAGTGGTACTGCTACTGCATTACTAGGCAGCAATTTTTCTCATAAAGTTAAGCTTTAAATTCCATGTATTATTTTATTTTTGTGAAAAGTAGTTATCAAATCTATAAATAATTTGCTGCAATATTTCTTCAAATGTTAACATAGTATTCATCATAAAAAGAAGTACCAAAAACTTGAAAAATTCAATTGAGATAAAAGGACTCAATAACTCTTTACCTTAAAATATCTTTAATACAATATTTTATTACTTTGTATTTCCTAGTAAAAAAGAACAAAATAAACACTAATTAATTGCTTCTATTCTAAATAATCCTATTTCAAGTGATATTGTTAGCACCATAAAAAGTTGTAATTTACTTTTGTATTAATTGAACAGATCGAGGTGTGAAAGGCAACAAAAGACTGTTGTGTTTAAATGAAAGATGATAACATTGTATTTATACAGTTGACTGGTTACTAAACAATAAGATATGACATGAATATATGTGGTAAATATTGATTGTAAAAAGTATCTTCAATCATTAAAGTTGTAAACATGTAATATTAACTTTAAATAAAAGTAAATTATTTTTGCTTTGCTGAATAATGTTAGCAATTATTTTGTTTGACACTGTGTATTTTGAATATATAAAAGTAATGGTACTGATACCTAATTACTTCCCCCAAAAAAGTAATGGTACTGCAGTACCTAGCTAAAATCTAGTACTGGTACTGGTAATGGTACTGCATAACTTGGCAAGTACTGATAATGGTACTTAAGTACTACACCCTTAGTACTGATGCAGCTCTGCCTGCGACACGTATATTTGTTTATATGTTAATCACGAGAAACTTAAAAATTAAGCGTTGTTGTTCTTCTTCTTCTACAATATATGTGAACTTCACAGGTTATCTTTCAGAATAGAGTAAAAAAGTTTGTAGCTTATGCTAAGTTTCGTGCAAAAACTGGTACGATTGTGTAATTATCAGTATGTTATATTTTATATCAGAATGTAATGCAAGCTATATATTCTAAAACAAGTATTTGTAAATTATCTAAAAATGATTCGAGAAAATAACAAAAAAACATCTTTAGGAAATGCCCGCCTCCAAACGTTTAAGTTACTAGTTTATAAAGATTTTTGGCATATTATATGGCTTTATGGCTCTATGCATATATAAACGGTTGTTTGCATATATTCATTATATTGTTGTTGTTATATAGCAAACAACCGTTTATATACTACCATTTAATCAATTTAATCAATCAAGAATAATGAATTTTAATACAGCACAAGGGAAAATAATAGCAATCAAAATTGACTGCAACCGTAAAGTCTGGATTACCTGCCCTTTTCTCTCCGTTCAATAGCACTAAATTTTGTAGAAGTCACATAAACGTCACGAGCGACCATGAAAACTTGTAGTATTATAAAACATAAACGAATGGAAGACAATAAAAAACTGACGAATAATAGTTATAAAATCGCGTGTACACATTCTCATTGTACCTATTGAAAATCACATTTTTAAAAATATGCTTAATTGATTATAGATATCACAGAGATGCCAAATATTTCAAAATACTCTAACACTGTAGGATAAACCGCTTGATCCTCCCCTGACGCCGCCCGCTCTATAGATAACACAACAGTTTCCGGTGTATACGTGCACTTTATTAATAATGTATAGAAATCTAGATCTACATTTACTTATATAATATCTTTAATAATCTGGAGTACTAAAAGTGAAGTAAGTTAACGGAATGTATATGTCATGTGTGTGCATTTTGTTTATACTATGGAGGCTATTCGTTGCCAAAAATCCAGCCTTGTTGATCTGAGTTGAACAGTTTGTTAATGGAAAAAATACAATTGTATTTCTTTGTATGTAAACTCCAATGTTGCATACTTTGATTGAGTTTGCCGATTTAACATTGTAAACATGCATTTCAACAAAATACAATTTGTTAAACGACAAAACATTAACTGATAGGAGCAATACCAAGTGTTCGAATACTCAAAACAGAAGTAACATTCTTAGCTTTACATTGTCGAACCATCATGATTCAGATCAGCATAATCCAGCTTTACACGTTTTTCAATAGGAGATAAAATAAGCTCCGCCCATTTTCCCGCCCACTAAATCATCGTAAATAAACGTATTTTCCGCTCATTTTCGGTATTTACCGTCGGCGACAAGAAGCGGTTTCCGTTTATCATACCTTTTAGGTGTTTAGTTACTAAACATAATTCACTTGCATGATTGCCTACAATCAACATCAGCGGACTTTAAAGGAATATAGGCATTTAAGTTTTAAAACGTTGTAGACACCACATTTCCTGGAAAAAGAAACTTAAAAAAAAAAAAAATCACCAGGTTACATACTGTCTGAGGTTAAATATTTTTCAAGGAAGTGAAAACTATTGAAAAGACTATATTCAACGACAAATAAATTTTACTGATGGTATTCCAATTTGCATAGGAATGAGTAACATTTACAGTTAAGCTGCTACCTTACCACTTTCAAATTTTCAAGTCAACATCTGATAGAGATTTTGATACGACTTATTACTAATACAGACCAAATTCTGGCTGTTGTCTTTCCTGGTAGTACTATTATATTAGTAACCTTAATTCTAGCGTATGACTTGACAAGAAAAAAAACTTTTAACAATAGTAAAATTATAACCAAAGTTGTATGTACCCTTTCGTACATAACTTTTTATTTTTACCATATATTTTCCCATTTTTCCCATTTTGTTTTTCAATAAGTAAAATTTAAATGAGTCCAAATGTATGTATGTTGATTATCAATTTATGTATACCTTGTTTATTTTATCTCTTAGAATCCATCACTTACAAAACTTAATAAATATTCTGTGTAGTATTTCATGTACATAAAAAAAGTTCTCTGTTTTGATCATACAACAAACTTAGACAGCAAATCTAGGTAACAGCTAATGACAGCATGTATACACATATTTTAGAGGTGCTATTGATTCAGCACAATGCATAAAAAGACCTTAATCTACGCCAGCTTACATATATTTAACAATAAAAGGCAAAATCACATCCTATGACTCAAAATACCTCCCAATGGAGGTAAACAGAGTTGCCAGGATACACTGAATATTTATTTCAACATTAAAATGGGACAAATTCACAAGTTTTGGTTATACAACGGAATTATCAATAATAAACTTTGCATTGTTTCGTGGTTATACACTTGGTCAAAAATATGAGTTTTTCTGCAACCCAACATAGTCCTTTAAAGAAAGAAGGCACTAGCTTATTGTTCAGTTCTCTTTATTCGTGTTGCCAAAAGTGCCTTCCATGTACTATTTGCTAAAGGTAAAAACAAATATGCCTAAGAGTATTGCCGTGGCTCACAAAACCCTATTATAGATATCAATGAATATTGGCGTGTGTCATTATATATGGGAAACATTTCCTTATGTAATTTCACCAACTTTAGATTTTGCGTATTATTATGCTCATTATCAGTATATACGTTGTTACATTTTTACATTATATCTTAACCAATTTTGCATTACTTGAATATCCTGTACTAGAATACGTTTTAACAAAATCAGAGGATGTTCAAAGTCAAGAGTGATGTAACAGTTTCTATATAATTTGAAATATTTTTGTACCCGCAAGAGTTACCTCTCTTTATATTCTGCTTTCGTGAAATTGGCTCCGCCTATTAATTTTCGTCTATTTCCGTGATAATTCCATATATGGAAGTTGCAAAATCGTTTACAAATGTTAATCGCGTTAGAATGTAAAAGGAAAGTGTGGTGTTGTAAACCTGAGTGTGTCAAGTTGATGCAGTTACATTCTCAACGTCATGATGCAATGCATTAAACGTATTGTGTACGTTCTATCGTTTACATTTCTACGTGTCGCAAATTTGAAGTTATACATTTATAAATACAGTTTGCAATTTATCTAATTTGCATGTTAACAGCTTTCATTTTATCAAATCGAGATAATCAAAATGCTTAATACCAGTGCAGTATGTAACTCTCGGATCGACAATTAGATTTTTACTAATCTGTTTAGTAGAACCGAAGTATGCATTGTCAAGTTTCAAAGGCTGGATTTTTGGCAACAAATAGCCTCTATATTTATCAGCATCATTATCTTTTTACCATGACCTCATTTTCATTTACTGGCGTGTAGCATGCATTTTCAGCTAAATTGCATTATATTGTTTACAATCAACCATGAAAATAACAAATAAAAAGTAGGATATTGTTTAACAATATTGGCATGGCACTTCATTATTTTTCGTAAAGGTCACTTGATAAACGAATATATTTATTACTATTTGTTATAATATTTGTGAACTTCGCACGTCGGTGATGAGGTGTGGCGTACCGGACTACCTATCTGAATGTCACTGGTTCGATTTCTAACCAACACTTGCAGATTTCTGCCCTTCTGTTGATTGAATTGTTTCCTTTTGTTTTATCGGTATGTTTCCGTTAATACTTAGACGTACACATTTTTCTCTACAGTAGAACGCATAAGTATTTTAACAGTTTTCTTAGTGAAATTACGCAACGTATATGCTTAAATAGCGCACACACGATATATGTGCACTTATCGAAATACTACATAGATAAAATACACAAGGAGGGTTTGCATAAGAGAATGGCAGTTTTAAAACTATGACAAAAAGAAATAAAAGTGGCTAATCCAGGATTCAAACCAGCGAGTTTACGTCTATGTTCTTTAAGAGACAGACCTTTACTTACTTCTTGCAAATAAAACAGTATTATCTACTGTGTACACGACTGCTAGAAAAAACATTTCTTGCATTATCAGACTTGCGTTTCCGTTTGTTTTACCCATGCCGGAAATTTCATCTGGCATGGGGGTACTAGATGAACTGCGTTCTGTAATTGCGTGCTATACATTGGCACGTTTAGGATGACGTAATTTTACCGTTATGAATAAAGTTGTAATTTCATACACTGTTGTAAGAAAATAATTACGGGTGTTATGACATAAATTTCCATGGAAATTGTTTTCTTTTTAAGGTAAAGAGTTTAAAATATAATTGTAAAATATGGAAGGAAAAATATCTGACATAAGTTTGCGGTTCGTATCGGAATATCGATCCTGGACGGCTTTTCCGATCCGAACCGCGACATAACGACTGCAGGTACAGACCAGAATATCTAGCTCGAGAGTAACTGTTTACGGCGGTAACGGGGCTCTGATTCTTTTTCTTGCATATAAATGATAAATTGATATATAAAAGAAATTACGAAACTAATATTTTCATTTAGCACTTTTTTCTTATTAAAGCGTATGAATTCACAACTCTATTCATAACGGCACATTGACGCCATCCTAAGAACGCAATTCATTCATAAAAGGCGCGTAGAAAGACGTTATCTAAATCACGCGACGGTCTTACATCGGGGCGTAAGATAAGTTTTTCTAACAACGGTGTAAACAGTCGATAATCCTGCAAGAAATTATAAGATTACCCCTGTGTAAGGCAGGTCGCGTGCTTTAAATGACGTTCATATGATGCGCCATTTTTTCCGTTATGAATAAAGTTATAAATTCATACGCTACCAGAAGAGAAAAGGACTAAATGAAAATTTAAGTTTTTGTAATTTCTTTCCGAAATATGATTAATATTAGATATGCAAGAAAGATAATCGTTACAGACGGGAATATCCAGCTCCCGGGTAACTGTTTAGCAGAAACTCGGAAGAGCCTCGTTACCACCGTGACCATTTACCCTCGAGTTAGATATTTTGGTCTGTACTGGTAGCTGGTGTAAGACACTTATACGACAGCTCCAAGAAGGATTCTTAATTTAGACCATTAAACAACTGTTTATATACATTCATATCGATTTGCAAGTTGGTCGCAAAGTTCGCGGACTTTATCGACTGTCAGGTAAATATTTTAAAAACTCTTTTGCTACCAAAATGTTAAGATGTACTCTTATATTTATCTAATTAGCTCTTGTTTATAGTTAAAAGACACTCATTTGATGTTATGTTTTTTCATGGCGTGATTGAAATATTTTTCGTCATTTTTATACCATTTAATGAAAATCTTTTCCAAAAACTTGTATGCACATTTCAGATCATTTGCTCACTCCATTTTTCTAGAATAATCATTTTCATTGTGCAAAATAATTTAAAAATTAAAAGCATTACGCATAACGCTTTTAACTGAAACCGGGGCCAAAAGAAAGGAGTTCTGTTTCTGGTATTCTGCCCAAAGAAAAAGGGATAGGTATGTACGGGCTGTGAATCACACTAAATATCGATGATTCTCAATTTAATCTGAGATTATATCTGTAATATCTCTGTTATATATTTCCATTTAAAGTCTCCTTGTTGATCAATTTAACATTTTCAATTTTTATATGTCCTTGCTTTTGGATGCACTTGTACCTCCATTTACATTTGCTTAATTGCCGTTAAAACCTCTGAACAACAAAAAAAGGTTTATTGGCATAAACAACACGACAAAATAATTAACATATGTGGTTTAGGTAAGGCTACTGTATTGATTTTCAAACAAACGTATATAATGAGAAATGGCTCAAAATAAACCTTAACATTGAGCATTCCTCCTGAACATGTAGTTATATATGAAAATAATACATCCTACACATAGCAATCATCTCGTTAATAAGCGTGGCATAACCATTTTTGAACAACACTGCATCGTTAGAGAACACATGGTAGAAACAGGTTGACATCACCTGTTGAATTATGATGATGATGATGATGACGATAATGATTGTTTCTGATATAAACTCAATCGTAACTTACCTGCTTCTTCATACGTTTATGAATATGTAGCAAGGTAAAATGTAGAATAACTTTATCACTAACGTCCTCTCTTCATAATGTTATGTTTAAGAAAAAAAAATAAAATATGTTGTTGCCTGAAATGGCAACAAAGAAACATTTTATGTGAAACAACAAACCTTATAGAGAAAATATATTAGGCAGTTTTTGTCTGGGGTCTTTAGTCTAATCTAAAGTTTATTTTTAGATATAAGACGTACTTGTTTCTCCTTTAAACTTATAAGATTTGATAACATCAATTAATTGATTGGTATTCAATCAAAATAAATATATATAATAGATGGGAAAGTACAAAATATGCCGGAATACTATTAACAATCAGTTACATGTATCACAAATCTTCTACCTTAATATGTTGTAGGAAATGGCTGAAAGTGCATGTGAAGACGACCTGAAATTCTCGCTTTTAGTTGAAGGTGTAGTTATAAAGGCACAGACTGAGACAACAAATGAGAAGTCAGAAATAATTCGTGATGTCATAAGGTTTCATATTAACACCTGGCTCGATCAGGTAGAACAATTTGACGCTGCATATAAAGTATCAGAATTGATTCCAGTTGGAAGTTATGCCGAGGGAACTAAAATAATAAGAGCAGACGAATTTGACTATTTGGCTGTCATTGAAGCATTGTCAAAACCAGATGTGATAAAGGTAGATGCAAGTGAAAGCGAAATTAATCACGGCTTGGTAAAAGTCGTATTAGCAGACGAAGAATTAAAGTTAAAATGGAGCAAACTTTGTAAAGACGGTCACCTGAAATGTTTTCAACCCATTAACTTCCCAGTAATGGGTGAAAATAGATTTGGACATGTTGTTATCGAAACTTTATGGAAATTTGTCAAAAACTCGACGCGTATAGGACCGACAGCTGGGTCACCAACTGACATAGATTGCAAAATTCTCTTACCAGCAGTGAATGGTGTGTCTTTATATTTCACAGGTGCTCTTTTTAGAGCACCTAATGTTATTCTAAACTTTGAATACGAGAACAGAGATGTATCGGTTGATGTTTCACCAGCAATAAGATATCATAAAATCCACGACTGTTTCAAAGTTGAGGACTGCGCTGGTCCAGAGTTTGCTGAACTTGTTCTTCAACGAAAATCTCTATTGCTTGTCGGAACTGAAAGAGAATCTTATTTCAAAGTGACTGTGACAGAAGCAGAGGTTGAATACATATTGACTGTCATGAAACCCGAGCACAAGATCATATATGTTTTTCTCAAGTATATTTTAAAATTATACGAGAGAGTACTTATGGACACATTTACCTCATATATGATGAAAACTGTTTGTTTTCACCATGACATTAAATGTCAACAGAATAATAGATCTATAAAGGATTGTTTTAAATCTGTTATAAATGATCTAAATTTTTGCACGGCGCAACAATTTGTTGTGAGTATAGTGAATAAACATATTAACCTAAATTATCAAAAAACTTACATAGAAACAAAATTAAATGAAGACAGACAGTGCTTACTTCAAGGCATGACTGCCATGTGTCAGGTACCTGCAGAAATTGAAACAATTGAAGACTTTGATAGATTTATGAAGCAGATTGTTGACATTGAGAGTCAGAAAAGATATAAAGGTGCGTACTTATGTTTTTGTGACATTGATTTTAGGTAGAGACTATCTAATTCATTAATTACTTATCAAAATGCCTAACTAAGTTCTTTGCCGTTTTTCTTCTAGATCAAAGATTTGCATTATTTTCAACTGTTTATATTGATACATATAGTATCTTTGTATAACACGGAATGTAGTAAAAATGATTGAGTGAGTTCATTAGATTATGCACAGAATACAAAAGGAACGTTTAAACATCATATGATGTTAGATATGACACCAGCCTACTGACGTCAAACTACTAAATAAAGTCATGAAAATTGCTTCTACAACGTAGATATCAAGTTTCTTTCATTATGATACAATACTGAATGGTATTTTATTCAAATGTTTAAGTAAATAGATATCACTTTTTAGTCAGTTGTTCATGGTTCGAGTTCAATTGCGGAGTAAAATAATCAAGAATGACAAATTTCAAAGAATTTGAACGATAAACTTTGCAATATTGTACTACAACGCAATAAAAAATATAAATGATATCTACCTACATTCTAACTTGCTAATTGAAAAAGAATTTATAGAAAAATGTTGAACAGCATTTAGCGGAGAAATAATCATGACGTCTTTTGGGTTACTGTATTGATATTACATCTGTTTAAATAAGTCGGTTTATAACATACCCGTGCCGCTTTTGCGACCCCATAAAAACGGTATTGCACGGTTGTGCATATATTTTGACATGACGTTATTTGCGTTATACAAACAAAGCGTAAAGATGCGCTTAATGTTAGCGTTACACTATAAACGTGTAAATGAAAAATGACTCTTTTTCACATTAAATAGTCTTTAGTTTGGGTATGTGATAATCAAAATATTATATTCATGCAGATTCATTACTTAAATTATTGAACTCATTAAATATAATACTTGCAAACGGTTCATTTGCTCAATGTGACAGACATGTAGATTTTATCTTACTCTTTGGACAGCTGAAGTGGAAAGAGAAGAAATGGATAGGGAATGCCGTGAAAGTTTTAAAGCAGAACTTGAGGAAAGAGTTTCAGATCTTGTTGCTATGGGATTCGATCCTGATGAAGTGAAGGATGTTATGGAAAATACTTTGTATGATTCTGAACTAGCAATTAGAATTCTTCAGAAGGTATGTACCTTAAATACCATCATTGTTCAATCTGACTAAAGTTAAGATCTACTTATTTCTTTTATGTAGATATGATGACAACGGTATGTGTTCGCCTCATCTATATCCATGCAATCAAACTGGTTTTTGCATAGGCATTAGAAGAAGTATTAAGATACCGTTATACGTTGAAGTTAAAGAAATTGTTGATGTTTGTTAGGAAAAAAATGATTGAAGTAATTTTTAATAAATTACTTGAAAATAAAATAGAGTCAATTTTTAATGGGCAAGATCGTTTTGCCTGTTTACCTGTCGGCTATATGGACAACGCCATGTTTGATCTCGAAATCATGAAAATTACTTACTCAGTATTCTAGAAACCACATCGCTTTCAGAATTATGAAAGCTCGCCGATGATTGGCTGTGTAAATAGTAACCAAAAATAATTCCGTATATGGCCACGCTCAGGTCTAAAGGCGGAGCGTTTTTAATCAGATTGCATCATTGATTTATTTTTTATAATATTGTTGTACTTTATTGAAATAAATTTATATGTTTTACTGTTTAACAGTTCTGAAATATTATGTTGAACTGCAAAATCAGTAAAATTTAAAATAATTTCCTTGTTTAATATTACAACAGCATGCTAGGGAGCGCGAGAAGGAAAGGGTTAAAGAAAGCTGTTCTACATCTGGCGGTATTCCCATTCAAGTCTCTGAAACACATTCTATCAATGAAACTTGTTCTAATGATGGTGTGTCTGGAACACTTCCCGTGTCGACAAATTCGTCTCAAGGTCGGAGTTCAGGTTCTGAAGAATTCCTCCTTGCTGTTTACAATACACAAAATACTACTGTTACGCCTGAAACTTTGTACCAACAGAAAAAAGATGGGTGAATGTTTGTGAAGTAACAAAACAGAAACAAAATGGAGTGATACATGCTGCAATTGTGTAAAGAGTAATATTCTTATATAATTATTTATTTCTAAAGCATAATATCCTATCGAGTAATGTTAGATAGAGTGGGATTTTTTTGGGATGTTTTTGTTGTTTTTAGGTCCCATATGGGTAACCCCAATTATTTACACCGTAATTGGTATAAGCGGATCTTTTATATACAATGTATATTTTGCATACTATTCGTGTTACAGTAAATAATATCCTTTGATTAAACACACCTATATACATTTACATGAATATAATCATACATACGATAATATACATTATTGACTAGTGTGCCTATGAATATGATGTCATATTCACCGACAGATGACATATTGACCGAGGTGATAGCCGAGGTCAGTATGACTTTCTGCCGGTGAATATCACATCATATTGAATGGCACACTAGTCAATAATTGTTTGATTATATGAATAGGTTATAAGAATTTTTTTGAAAAGTCACTGAAAGTACAACCTTATACATGTGTTTCGTTGAAGCGCCGAAAAAAACGCTATGTTATTATAAAACTATATTAGTTAAGTAATGATATTTTAATCGAGAAATATGACATAAAGAAGAAAACGCAACAACTATTTATAATAAGCACGATATGGCATGTTAAACGTTGCAAAATTAGGTAAATCTATTTTTGGTCTATATCTAATATTTATATTGTATAACTCTAATTTTATATTCTATACCATAATAATTATTCTATCCTGCATCATAAAAAATACTTGTGTGCGTTAATTTTCTATATGTATATTCTATATTTGAAAATATATATTGTATAATTAAAAATATTTATTGTATACTGAAAAAATATATATTCGATAATTTGAATCATGGGATAGAATCACAATTTTTTAACACTTAGCATATTATGCCCCGCCAATAAATTAAGCACGAAGTTATGATAAAGCGTTATCATCCTGATTAAACTAGACTAAAGTGTAGTGGAAATGATCAGTACCCCTGTGAATATCACTTGTAAATAGTGCATATGCTTTATCCTCCTTATAAATATATCTGAATGTCTAAAAAATGGAAATTGACATTAAAGTCTTCAAGACATACAATTGTCTGAAAATGATTTTTCATATGCATGATATGGACCTATGAGAGGATATCATGTAAGATGACTAAAGGATCATCTAAATGTTCATTTACTCTTGTTCATATGAAAGATATATGTGGAATGACATATAATGAGCAAGAGATAATCTTCATGAACATATACTATGTTTATGGAAGATGTATGAGGGGATAATGTAAGATGAGCAGGGGATCATCTAGATGTACACGTTCATTAGTTGTTATGGAACATATATGAGGGGTCACCTTGGATGACAAGGAGGTCTTTTAGATGTATTAACACTCTAGTTCTTATAAAACATATATGAGGTGATTAGGTAAGATGAGGGGATAAGGTAATGGGTTTTGAAAACAAAATATTCTCCTAGATAAATTATGTTACATAAGAACTAAAGTTATATACAGCTATATCATCGTGCATGAACCATTCGTACATATTCTAGAATGAAAAAAATAGAATGATCCTCTGGTCATCCATCGTGATCCCCTTAATAAGCTCAATGTGAACAAAAGTATATGAACAACCTTGGAGTCTTCAATGAACCCCTCATAAATAATTCATGTATAGAGATAACCCCCTGGTCATATTACTCGATTCCATTATACATGTTATTTAATTTTTGAGTATTTGTACACTTAAATGATCCGCAAGTTTGAACAGAACTAAAGAATAAGTACATTTAATGATACCTAATCAGCTTATGAGCCCCCCCCCCCCATAAATTTTTCTATAAAACTAGAGTAGAGAAACATTTTACGATCATTTGGTTATTTTAGTGAATCCCTCATACATGTCCCATAATAAATAGGGTTTATGAACATCTAGAAGGTTCCTTGGTCATCTTACTAGCTACATCTTACGTGATCTCTTCACATGTGTTCAAAAATAAAAAGTGGTATGCACATCTAGATGATCCCCTGGATAACTTACATGATGGCCTCATGCATGTTCTAAAATAAATAGAATATATTTACATCTAGAGGATCCATAGTCCTCTTACGTGATCCCCTCAATAAATAAAGTGTATCTATTTGATCAGATGGCCGTCTTATGCAATCCGCTTAAACATATACCATAATGAAAAGAACTAGAATATATTTATTAAGATGAATCATTGGACATCATTTATAATCCCTTGATATATGTTCTAGTAGAACGAGAGAAAATGTACATAAATATGATCGAAAGGTCAATTTGCAAGATCCCCCAAAATCATAATTATTTGTGGGGCACTCATTTCCGTGGTTTTCGTAGATAGATGTACATGGAGAAATAACAATAGGGCATATGTTCATCTAGATATCCTGTCGTTTAAACTTGGTCCCCACACATCTGTTCCGTGATAAAAAGAGTTTATATGTATATCTAAATGGTCCCCTGGTCGTCTTACGTAATCAAATAATACACGTTCGATAACAAATAGAGTACATTTATATGATCATCTAAATGATCCCTGGTCGCTTAAGGTATTATGACCCTTATGGGCACTATAAAAAATTGACATCATAGGTCAGATATATACCTTAAAGTGCACCTGTATGCACAATTTAAACAAAGTTTACCGTACGGAAATCAAGTTATGGCCACTTTGCTGAACTCAAGCTAGGATGTTATGAGGGCCCTTTTTTAGAAATGAGGAACCTTTAAATAATCTGCAATAACATTCTAATGAAAAATGTTTTCCCATTAATTTGGTAAGAAACAAAAAGTACCATTCAGCTAACAATCCACATAAGCAAAATTATGGTTTCTACTTAAAATTTATGAAATCTGTATAAAAATGTTACCCTACCCCACCCATTTTTACCACGTGTCTGACCATTTTCCTACTTAGGGAGCCTAATTTAAAAAAATCCTTAAAATTTACCCAAATGAGTGCCTGTTTTCAAAGTTTCCCTAAATTTTTAAAGAAGTATATTGTACGTTGATCTTGTAAAATATGAAATACATTTACCGTCTAGTTTTGATTTTATTACACTTTGAAAATATCAGGTACCATATTTATTACTAGAGTTAGCATAATTTAGCCAATAGATACCTATATAAATTAAAAATTAAACAATTTTTTCTTTCCAAATGGGACATGAGAGATACATAAATAATGTTAAAAGAAAAAAAGAAGGAAAAACAAGTTGACCCTTCTGGGGATTGAACCCACGGCCCTCATTTTCAATGTAGTTAACAGTAGTTCTAGCCTATTTGAATACTCTTCAAAGCGGAGGCAATGCATTGGGATGGTAATACCTTAACGAGTATATGTACATTTAAATAATCTCATGGTCATCTCACATGATAACCTCATACATGGTCCATAAAGAATAGAGTCTATGTACATATATATGATACCCTGGTCGCCTAACTGGATTCCCTCATACATGTTTCATACAAATATATTATTTGTTCATGATCCTCTGGTCGCTTTACGAGCATGTGTACATTTAGATAATCTTCGGTCATTTCACATGATATCCTCATACATGGTCCATAATGAATAGAGTATAATTATGTACATATATATGCTACCCTCATGTATGTTCCAAAAGAACTATAGTATGTACATTTGGATACTTTTTAACCATGTTTATTATTTAGGATCACACATTATGTTCTATGAGAACTACAATACATGTACATTTAGATAATGTAGATGATCCGATTTTCAGCTTACATGATGCCCTCATATATATTCTATCAGAACAAAAACAAAGGAAGTTTTTATGCTCTTTTGGTCATTTTAAGTGATCTTCTCAAACATGATTTTTTAGAACCAGAAGATCTATAGAAACAGACAAAATATACGGGCATTACGTGATCCCTTCATTTGTGTTTCAGATAACTAGAATATATTAACATCTCAAAGACCCATGGTCATCTTTCGTGATCGCCTTCTATATTTTACAAATAAATTAGTATGTGTACATCAAACAATCGTGTACATATGTTTATCTAAATGATCACCTGCTCATTTTATGTGACCCTTCATAAATTTTCCATAATAAAAAGGAATATATCTACATCTAGATGATACCCTGATCATCTTACCGATCCCTAAATATATGTTTTATAAGAAAAGAACTGGAGTGTTTATCTAAAAGACCCCTCTTATTTGTCCCGTAACAACTAATATATATGTGCATCTAGATGATTCCCTGCTCATCTTACATTACCCTCTCAAACAACTTCTATAAAACCTAGGGTATATGTCCATGTAGATGATCTCTTAGTTCTCTTATATGATTCCTTATATATGTTTCATATGAACTTATGTACATTAAGATGATCCTTATGTCATCTTACGTAATATCACCACATACGTTCATATCGTGGTAAAATAAGTAGGCATATGAATATACGATTGTATGTACTGAAGACTTTAAAATCTGTTTCCATTTTTAGACATACATTTATATTCATAAGGAGGATTAAGCACATGCTCTATTTATAAATGACATTCACAGGGACGCTGATCATTTCAACTTCATTTATCAGGATGATAACGCTTTATCATAAATCTGTGCTTAATTTAAAGGCGGGGCTTAATATGATAAGTGTTATATCCCATGATTCAAATTATCGAATACATGTTTTTCAGTAGATCTATACAATAAACATTTTTAATTATACAATATATATTTTCAAATATTGAACATAAACATAGAACATTATCGCACACAATTTATATTGTTTATGATGAATAAATATTCAGCAGGATTGAATAAATATTATGGTATATAATATAAAATTAGAGTTATACAATATAAATATTAGATATAGAACAAAAATTTGATTTATTTAATATTGCAACGTTTAACATGCCATAGCACGCGTAATTTACATTCTATGATATATGATCATTAAACATGAGTCCCAATCTATTTATTTTTAGACATGGAAAATTCAAATTTAACCAGTGAATATGATGCCTCACCCAGTGAATATGATTATATTAGAAATGCTGTTGAATATCACACCATATTCAATGGCACACTTGTCAATAATTGTATAATATATCTTTTTGACTCAAAATTCAGACGCCAATGAAAATTCATGTTAGGGAGTGCGCACTTAAACTCGGAATAATCTTTTTAGAAAACTGAGTTAGTGACCAAACATTCAATGTAATAGATTCCAGTAAAATTTAATCGTATTTTGATCAATGCAAGGATTAATGTTTATTCTGTAAAGCCATAACACAGCTGTCATCTTTTGCTTCGTTGTTTGATTTTAACTTCTGTTCTGCCGCATAAAAACTCCCTAGATGTTAGACTAGATTAGTTACAGCTGGTGCCAGAATAAAAACTGTGTGTCCTGTTATTTAAAATGATGATATAAATTTTCATTAACATTTTTTAAATCTTCATCAAACTTTGTTAGAATGTTTATGTCAATATTACCTATTTGTTAAATATATACTTTGCTTAACGTAAAATGAAAAGATTATAATTATGTACTGATTTAAGAAGTGGTAAGAATGGGTTTTCCTATGCTATATGATACCCCATAAAATATCATAGTGCTCATTATTATTTAATATATAAAACATTATGAACAAGAGCCATAAGACAGTGAACGCCAACTATTCTTAAAACAAGAGCTGGCATATTGCAAGTTCAGAAAGGGTCATGATTAGATCAGTCAAATCCCATGTAAGTAAGCTTATCTCAGTTATTCAAATAGTCTTCTAAAAAAATGGATAGAATTTTTGAGAAATAGACTACTATGTATGAATGTAATCACGAGAATGTCAATGGATGCTAATTGACGAATTGTCTCAGAAATTAAATTGAATTAGATTCAATATAACCATGTCTTAAAGAATTTATTATAAGTACGTGCCATTACATGTATATATGTACAGCTTCACATACTGACTAAATGTTCTTTAATCGAAAGTTAACACTTCGTTCCAATGAAAACCTGCAATGAAAGAAAGTCATATTGTTTATTAATATTCAAGTGCTTGAAATAAAATCACCTTGATAAAAGTTTATGAAACCACAAAAATATGTCTAGATCTAATATAAATTTACACATGTATAATACAGATTCTATGATTATGTAAATCGATGAAAACTTTTTTTTTTGTTGACAAAAAATAATTGACTTGGATTATTTGCACTTTACATTGATTTCAAACTAGCAAATGCTAACGAAAACAGAACATTCATAGGACTTATGCATTTATAATAAAACGTTGACGAATATAGCAGTAACGAGCAAAACATATTTTTATGAAAAAATGAATAAATATTCAAATAATAATGATGTTGATGGTTTTTAGAGTGTAAAGATACCCAATAACACTTAACTGATGATTCCGTACAATACCTTACATTACGCTGATTTAACTATCACATTAAGGTTTATTGTGTCAAAAAACACTTTCTTTTATCCGATATTTTTTCTCCCACAACGTTCTATTTGCACGCGAGACGTTGCTATGTGTTTATGTAAACAAATTAAGAAATAATCAATAGTTGCTATGTATTTATGTAAACAAAATAAGAAATAATCAATAGAACTTATTTTTTACCTTCGTCAAGCTGCTTACAGCAAGAGCCGACCTGTCAAAGGTGAAAGGTCTTGTCGGCAAATAGTTTCAAGCTTGTAAATGGCAGCTTTATCAAGCCGATAGCGGGCCACAACTTCCTGATCACTCAGGTTATCCAAATGCACCATTCGCTGCCTAAAAGTCCGGCTTTTCCTTTGGCGTTGTCGGTTCACAAGAAACACGGCGGCCATTTTGTTTGATCTGCGACTTTTACTTAGCAATCGTAGAAAAAATGCACGATCTTAGGATAATCGTACGATTAAGGAAATCATCGACGTTTGATAAGACACCGCCAAAATCGATGTACGATCGATATTGTCCGAATATTGCCCATATCATATCTCCTATATGCATATCTATAATGTCCACATCTCTGTCTAAAGCTTTTTTGACGGGCGTATTTTGAGACAACGTTGCCCTTGTTTTAAATATTTTAGTTTTATAATATTTTATTGCAACTATAGTACGTGTAAGATATGAATAACACAAAAACAAATGTACATATAAGTATACTGCAAATGGCTTGGGCTACAAGTTATTCAGCATTAGCAACAGCCCTTCCCACAAAGTCTAAGTTTTATAATACATATTTTCCGGGTAGTTTCGAAAGTTTAGTTACAAATAACTGGTTTGCCACTGGAAGTGAGAAAAAATCAAAACGCACACACACACACAAGCACGCACGCACGCACGCGGTCGATTCCGGTAATTCGGCCGATTCCGGTAAGTCGTGTAACCGTAATAATAATTAATAACCAGATTTATAAAGCGCCCTTTTCATGCAGAGCACGTTCAAAGGCGCTGTACATAAAAAAATAAAAGAACAATCACAAAAGTATAATTGAATAAAACGTAAAATATCAAAGAAAATACAAAATGAAGGTAAAAGAAGATACACCCGTGTGCTGCTACACACATAAAATGTTTAAAATGTCTGATAAAACCGGTAAAACTTACAGACTTGTATAAATAACTAGAAGAATATCAATAGGTAATTGTAAAAAAAATTTAAAGCTTTTTTAAAAGACGAGAGAGTTTTACAGTTACGTAGTTCTGAAGGTAATGTGTTCAAAATTTTGGTGCTGCAACTGAAAAACATCGATCACCGTATGTTACAGTTCTGGAACGTGAAACATTCATTAAAACCGGTTCATGCAAAGACCTTAATTGTCTTTGAGGTAAATATACTGTTAACAAGTTTGTAATATATTACGGGCCTCTCTGTGAAGAGCTTTAACCCATTACGTTATATACACACCTTTTAACGCCTTTTTCACACCCCCCCCCACTTTTTGTTGTCTCAAATGATGAAAAAATGCCTTATTTAGGCCCCCAACACTTGTTTTTGTTTGAGAAATGTTGTTAAAAAAGTGACCTCTTTTTCGGCGCGGCACCCCAACCAAAAGATACATCAGGGGGTTGCCAGAAGGGGGATGTGTCCCCTTCTGTGTGGGGGGTTTGAAGGGGGCGGAGTCCCCTTCATCGCCAAGAAAATTTTTGACTTGTGAGAGGCTATAAATGACCCCAGATTGATCATAAGGTTACCTGTAACCAACGCTGAAAAGCATTTGACTCTATCTCAATCCATTGAGAAGTTACAGCACTTTGAAATCAATTTTGATAGAAAAAAATCAACGCAAAATAGTGATTTTTGGCAATTTTGAGATGTCTCCTCGTTGCCATGTTAACAGAAAATTTAAGCCTGAGCATGTTGTTGCAAGGGCAATGGTCCAGTCAACATTTGTGCCAAGTTTGATAAGTGTTGAAGCAGTTTTTATAGTATTATAGCAATTTGAACTTGTAACGGGATACTTTTCAATGAAAACAGCCATTTTTCACAAAATGCTCATGAAGTAATGATTTGAAGACGTGAGTGAGGATTTTATAATCTATACGCCGATGTATAGGGAGGCAATGAAGTTCTTTGAGCACTGGCGTGATGCTGACATACCTAGAAGTTTTTGTTATAAGCCGTGCAGCGGTATTTTGAACGATTTGAAGTTTGTTAAGAACTGTCTTTGAAAAGCCTTTTAGAAGGACATTACAATAGTCCAGTCTCGATGTAATTGAATGATTCACCAAGGATTTTGCCGCATCGTCAGTAAGATATTGCCTTATTTGTCCAATTTGTCGGATGTGCATGTAGCATGCTCTCGAGACACTGTTGACATGAGTATTCATTTTTAGATGAGTATCAAGCATAGCACCTAGGTTTCTTACTTTCATAGACGGCTTGATTACTGATTCCCCAACTTTTAAGGAAATATCTTCAGCCAAAGCAGAATTTCGTTTAGGAACGAATACAATTAACTCTGTTTTTTTCAGCGTTAAGTTTCAGCAAATTTGTGTTCATCCAACTGACAATTTCGTTGAGACAAGCTTCGATTTTTTGAAATGTTTTGATTTGGGAGCTGTCATGTTTTAATTTGAATGACATGTATAACTGTGAGTCATCAGCATAAAAGTGATTATGTAGTTGATGTTTTCTACAGATTGTACATGACATAATTCTTTGGTCCCAGCACAGAACCTTGTGTGAGAGAGAGAGAGAGAGAGAGAGAGAGAGAGCGAGAGAGCGAGGGAGAGAGAGACAGACAGACAGACAGACAGACAGAGAGTGAGAGTGCATTGTATTTTCCCTACGTTGCCTGACCATTGACAAGAAAAACAGAGAGATCATGTGTGATAATGACGACAGCGACAATTTGAAATCGAATTCGGCAATTATGTTTACGGCATATTAGCCGCGTCACGACAAAACCAACGTTATGCGTTTGGGACCAGCATGGATCCAGACCAGCTTGCGCATCCGCGCACAGGATCCATTCTGTTCGCTATCGGTTTCTCTACTTGTTATAGAGTTTGTAAGCGAACAGCATGGATCCTGATCAGACTACGTGGTCTGGATCCATGCTGGTCGCAAACCCATTATGTTGATTTTGTCATGACGCGGCTCATATATAGATCAACAAGGAAATGACATATTTACATATTATAAAATTCTACTTAATGTTTAGGATTTTTATAATCATTAACTGATTGACAGATGGAAATAGCGGTCAGTTGAAGTAAGTAAAGTATTTACATGTATATTTATCGGTACCACTTTAGAATATCAAATATAAATAATGAATAAAGGCGGGATATAACAAAGACTATGAGTGACCTGGATTTTAATAATTTATGTAAAAAAAATACTAAGTAGGAGAATTAAAGAGAAGAAAAAAAAAACATAAAATATTACAAGTTAACCAGATAGCTCAGCCGGTATAGCAACCTAGACGTTGTCTTAAATATTATTAAGAAACAAATAATTGCCGAAAGGTTTCGATAATTTACTGACAAGGTTAGCAGCTGCAATTGTAAAATTGTATTACATGGTTTGCAACATTTAATTCATTAAAACCATTGAAACTACAACATTACAGGGTGAATTGTACATATTTAGACGACATACCTTTTACTTTTGATATAATAAAGTGTTAAAAAAATCTCTATATGCATAGCATATAAGTTTTTGTGTTTTATTTCTTAGACATTTAAAATTACAATTAAATTTTTCATCAGTTTTAACGTTTTGGTAAAATCATTTTGTAAAATTAGCATTTGTAAATTTTGCATTATGGTAGGTCATTTTCATGTTGAGTAGTATCGGATATTGACAAATACAAATATTTACTAACATTCGAGTATGATAAATCGTCTGCCTAAATATATTTCAGGAAATGACTGAAAAATACAAATATTTACTATCATTCGAGTACGATAAATCGTCTACCTTAATATATTCCAGGAAAGAACTGAAAAATACAAATATTTACCAAAATTCGAGTATGATGAATCGTCTGCCTTAATATATTTCAGGAAATGACTGGAAAATATAAATATTTACTAACATTCGAGTATGATAAATCGTCTGCCTTAATATATTTCAGGAAATGACTGAAAAATACAAATATTTACTAACATTCGAGTATGATAAATCGTCTGCCTTAATTTATTTCAGGAAATGACTGAAAGTCAATTTGAGGACAACCTGAAATTTTCGCTTTTAATTGAAGGTGTAGTCAAAAAGGCTCAGATAGAGACAAAAAATAAGTATTCAGAAACACTTTGTGTTGTTATAAGATTCTATATCAACACCTGGCTCCATGAGGTAGAACAAATTAACCCACTTTATAAAGTTTCAGAATTAATTCCAGTTGGAAGTTATGCCGAGGGGACTAAAATAATACAAGCAGACGAATTTGACTATTTAGCTGTCATTGAAGAATTGTCAAAACCGGATGTGATAAAAATTGATGCCAGTGAAAGCGATATTAATCATAGTTTGGTAAAAGTCGCAGTAGCAAATGAAAAATTAAAGTTGAAATGGAGCGGACTTTGTAAAGACGGTCATCTGCAATGTTTTCAGCCAATAAACTTTCCCAAAGAAAATGAAAACAGATTTGGACATGTTGTTATCGAAACTTTATGGAAATTTGTCAAAAACTCGCAGCAAATAGGACGGACAACAGGGTCACCAACTGACATAGATTGCAAAATTCTTCTACGAACATTGAATGAAATGTCTTTATGTTTCACAGGTGCTCTTTTTAGAGCACCCAATGTTATTTTCAGCTTTGAATATGGTAACAGAAATATATCGGTTGATGTTTCACCAGCAATAAGATATCATAAAATCCACGATTGTTTCAGAGTTGATGACTGTGCAGGTCCAAAGTTTGCTGAACTTGCTCTTTGTCGCAAATCTCTGCTGCTTGTAGGAACTTTAAGTGAATCGTATTTTAAAGTGACTGTAACGGAAGCAGAGGTTGAATATATATTGACTGTCATGAAACCTGAGCACAAGATCATCTATGTGTTTCTCAAGTATGTCAATAAATTATTCACGGAAAAGTTACAATATCCATCCTATATCACACTTACTTCATACACTCTGAAAACAGTTTGTATTCATCATGATGTGAAGTGTGCAAAGAACGAGAGATCCATTAAAGAGTGTTTAAAATCAGTAATGAATGATCTAAATGTTAGTTTAGAGCAATATTTTGTTGCAAGTATAGTAAATAAAAATATTAACCTTGTCAAGTCTACCGAAAGAGATGACAAGAATGACAGAGACTATGCTTTTCGAGGTCTCACTAAAATTTGTCAGTTGCCTACAGAAATTGAAACCGTTGAAGACTTTGAAACATTCATGAAGCAGATTGCTGATGTTGAGCGACTGAAGAAAGTGAAAGGTACGAGAATTGTTTAATTATTAATGAAGTTATATTATTTTGTTCGCTTATTACCTGTAAATCAAATGCAAAACATCGCAATTCCCGTGTCTCTGTAAAGAGCTTTTTTTTTAAATATTTGCCGTTTATTTATTGCGTTGTTTATATGATAAAAACAAACTGGAGCATTTTAAAGAGAATGTTTATCCGAGACAAAAGTTGTGGTTGTATTACGATGATGACAAAACAACTTTGGACAAATGAGTGTGCGATTTATTTTAAGTTTTTATTTCTTTCTTGAATTCTTGAATACAGTGCTGATTCATTATCTAAATACAAAAATGCCATTAATACAAGTGACGAATTTTTATTTATGATTTTTCTTTACAGTGCCGATTATGTACAGAGATCTTAATTTGTATATTATGAGATTACAATTACACTTTCGATTAATGGTTGAAATACTGCCAAACGTTTAGATTGTACTTTGCCATACACAGTGACAGACATTTTATTTTTTTTACTTTGCCGACAGCTGCAGAGGAAGCCAGAAAAAGTATTATGGAAAGTTCTGAAATCTTTGCTACCGAGCTTCAAGAAAAAGTTTCAAATATTGTTGCTATGGGATTTGATCCTGATGAAGTGAAAGAATTTGTATTAGGTCATTGGGATAGTCCTGAAGATTATATTATAAGAATCCTACAGACTGAGTGGGTATGTTCTATAATGTCAATCATTGCTTTATTTATGTTATGCAATCTTTGATTTAACTTTTATTTTTATTACAAACAATGCTTAATGGTGTATTTTTTAACATTTTAAGAGACATAATTATACTGTAATTGAGGATTATGCCATTAAGAGCAAATAGTTAAATGACAAAATTACAAAATCATGAGAGTTAAACCGTTTTCCAAAAGGTATGCAAAAATATTACAGTCAATGTGAGTGACATCGTATTTCACGGATATAAAAACAAGTACATAGTTTAGTGTAACATCATATATTTTTATTCCCCTTCCACATCTACGTTGCCAGCCTAAATGTGCATCAAGGTTGCTATCCCCAAAGGTCAAGATTACACTTAAAAGTCATATGATAAAGTCCATATATTCCTGTCTGATGCTTTTCTTTTCAATTACTTTTTAAAGTTTTTAAAACGGCTTTGCATCAATGGTCACAATAATGACATGATGTGTGGAGCGTAATGTTTAGGTTGCTACCCCAAGGTCTAGGTCATAATAGAGGTCAAATGTTAAAAGTCAAAAATTTTGTGTTCCCTTCGTAGCTTTATAACTTTTGATTTGTTTAATTATATTGGCACAAATTTTCATCATCATCACCTACAGGGGCGACAACAAGGTGGCTACCCCCAGGGTCAAGGGTATATCATATCCAACGGTCTTGTAATTCTCACCTAAATGATTTATAAAGCATGGAAACTATTACAAATACATGTAATACATTTGAGTCACAATCAAAATAAAAACAGTTAAAACAGGACATATCACTTAAGCCCACGGAACAACATTTATTCCTAAAGCATGATCAACCAAATATATAAGAAACATGTGTATCGTTTTAAGGCACACAAATTATATGACGTTTTACCAACGTCGTTACATTACTTTCCCCTCCGAGAAGTCTCGTCCCGAGACTTGGCCTGGGAAATCTGTGGGTAGGGCAACTCCGGTCCGGCAGTTGTCTACATCCCCCACCTGTGCTCACTCCAGAAATGGTAACGTCTTTATACAGGCACACAAACCCCTGTCGGTAAAGCTGGCTCACCACCGAGTAGGTGGTTTAGTTGTCTTATCACTTTTAGGTATTTTGGATGGTATATATGCCTTCTTTTATTGTATTTGTGTGCAATTATCCATTCATCTTATTGTCTCTATAACCGGCATCAAATAATGTAATATGACTCAATTCTTTGAATGATTAGTCAACATATCGTATATACCTTCATTCGTGGATGAACTTATTGCCAACGGAGCCGATTTATATGTTATCTGTGCTTTAAACGCATATCCGGATGACTGATCCTCGCTGCATCGAGATTTTGAGCTGGGTAAATCGTGTGGTAAGAGTCAATTTCCGAGGATTTCTGGGTTATGTTTATGAGCATTGTTATACACTTCTCCACATCTGGCCACAAATGGTTAGATCGTCCTTTGAGAGGCATCACAAACGCGCTGTATGTGAAAGCTCAGCCTCACCACCAGTATTCACTACACGAGCAGTATGGAGGTTATTGTGCCTTTATAGAATAAGTTGGGTAGATCTTACTCAGTGAGGTGATATTCCCTCTTGACGACTACTATCTCCTTTAAATGCTGAATTTCATGCATCTTTTGTTTTCGCATATCTTGCTGATGCTCATTATGTGAACGTTCTTACCACGTGTTAATCACAGTAAAATATGAAGTCCTGTATTACTCATGATTACCAATACCTTGACCTAAAAATTCAAATAAAATTAGAGGATTTGCAAGGTATCTTTCTGAATATGGAAAATAAATGGTCATTTACTGTAACAAACTTTTGTGATGAGCAAATATGCTTTTGATATACATCGCACAACATCAAGGTCATGGTTGCTTCAAGCATAAAAGGTCAAGAAGCACACATTCATGTCTGCTGCGGAATGGGTTTGAGCTGTTCTTTAGACTGCTTTGTTTCAATTTGTAACTCACTATGAAACTAAATTACATTTATATGACTAAATTGAACCTGTAAGGTAGTTCTTTATTATATTTTACTACAGCGCGTAAGGGAACGTGAAAGGAAAAAGCTTAACGCCGAAGAAGACTGTTCCGCAAATCAAGGAATGCTAGTGTCAGACTCACATTCTGTCAACGAAAAACATTTAAATGGTGATGTGCCTGAGGAGCTATCAAGTCAACAAAGTAGCACCACTCAAATTTTGTACCAACGGCAGAAAGATGTTTAAACATTTTCTAAACAGTCTCAGAGTACAAGCCAAAATGTTTGTGATACACTCAGCGATGATATAAAGTTTTGTATCTCCCTGAAGTTTCGTGTTCTTCCAAGAGGGTCACGAATGTTGAAACAAATTTTTAATATTTTTATACAAAAGCTATTGGCAGTATTTAGAATAAATTGAGAGATGTGCGGAGAAATTATGTAGTTTGGCAAGGGAGATTTATACTTATACGAGATCTAAAGTTTTGGATACAAAAACCTTTAATCCCATATTAACAGTCGGGTAGATTCGAAATGAAATTGGAAAAATGTTAATTAGATCTTTATTCTATAATGCGTAACAAAAAGTTGAAACTGCAATGAAATTGTTGAGAAAGTTTCAGATACTTTTATTCTATGAGTTATAGTTAGATTATAAAGTTCCTATTGATAAGTTAGCTTGAGTACCTATTGCATATAAATATAACCACACTCTGTTTGTCATAATGGAAGGATGAGAGTCAATATGAGTTGAGGTTTGACCAAAAGTATATGTCATGCACTTGATAAGTCCACCTTGAGGTAGATATCTAAGTTGCAGAGTTTCTCAGCGCTTGGAGATCCGACTTTGCTAATCCAGACAACTGATTGTACGTCTATTATTTTAGGTTCTATGTAAATCACACACATATAACTTAAACTTTCTAGTTCATCTCAAATCCCATTAGCATAATGGCTTATGTAGATCTATAAACACACTCAAGGAATAGAGTAGTATATATTATAATCATTATACACTATTCTACTTCAAGAAATATATCTTCTATAAACATCTCATTAAGATTGACTCACTACACGCGTTCTCATATGAGAGCTATGTGAATGAGAGATTGGAATATCAGACACGGGTGGCACTTTCATGTGAGTTTTATGTGAACGATTTATTTGATCTTAGAGATTGATGTATCTGTTGAGGCATGTGGAACGCATTGTCACTCTCTCTTCGCACGCTCGAGGTGTTTGCGGATCGGACTGAGAAGTCAAACGTTGACTTACACTAGTTTAGTTTACGCTTTCAAGACGTAAAATTTGTGAAAACAAATATTTCAAAGAACTATTGAAGTTCGCCGTTAAAGTCTAAATATGTATTAAAACATTAGAATAGTGTTAACCACCATTAGGAAATCACTTAGGTCTACACATATTTGTTGTTATAAGAAGTTAGTATTAAATGTGAAAAGCAACCTCGATAGAAATATAATCAACGCAGGATAAGGAACTTAAAGTAGTTATGATACATGAGTTGAACAGATTCAGTATGGGGGACAATTACATACATTCGCGGCGCTACCAATACTATGTAGTAAGCGCACGCATCCGAGTCAGTTTTGTTAGTGTTTTATCATAGATGAGTTGGTTTCAGAATGCAATGAAGATCATCAAATATTGTAAGTTTCTAATAAAGTATTAACTTTGTTAAGATAGTACGCCGAATTTACATTTCACGTAAATAAATGAGAGGTAATGCTAGAAATTTATTTCTCAATAAAGAAATGAAGCATGTATTTAAAATGAAATTATACTTTTGATTAAGGATGTTGACTATTTACAATATTGTCTGAGATAGATTATCAAAAGTAGTAAAATTTGTTTAGATAGGATGATATATCACATAGGTACACATAATAACTCATAAGCCGCAGCTTTACCCTGTCTTATTTTTTGTATTTCTATATTTTCATTTAAGTATCGGTAATAATGTGTTACACACTATAATTGACATATTATTCTTCATCATGTGAGTATAGCGTAATTTGAGAAATAGTATTTAAATGTAAAGTTAACATCTTCGCTATATGCTGAGCTTCGTTCGTTTGAAAGAAGAGAAAAAAACTTTCTGCTTCATACGTTGAAAGGCTGTGACTCTTTCCAGCAGCTAAAATTTTGCAATCTAAGAGAAGACTGAATGGCTTTTCCATACATTGCCTTATACTAAATTCAATAATTTAGCTAACTCATAAATATAGCTTATTCGCGATCCACCTAAATATATCTATATATCTTTGGTTGTGATATTCAATACTAACAAAACCACATACGAGTGATTCTATCCTCCAATCGGAATCCGCAATTTAAGAGTGTATTGTATGTATTCGGCACTAATACGTTATGACAGAAATAGAGCTTTCATAAGCCGACGTCACCAGTTGGCGTAATTTAAAGGAAACCATGTGAGGTTCGAATATGCGCCGTGGACATTCGTGTCAGTGAGGTGTCTCTACAGATGATGACTAGGAAACTGCGAGGTCAGGACTAGCTAATAGGAAGTATCGTGTCAATTTTCAAGTACCTGGGGAATTCGCTCTCCAAAGTACCCTAAAAGGCAGAGGAGTTGTGCGACTTAGTATGTACAAAATATCAATGGTATATATAAAATTACAATAGGTTCAGAATCTAACTGTGTCTAAACAACGGTTTGATGCACATTAAGGGTTTGCATAACAAATAGAAGAAAAGCTACATTTCATTATATAACTTGTGTTTCATATACGATAATACCTTGATCTTATTTTTCGCTGATGTCTAAAACAGTTCAAAATGAGTTGTTTATACCTTAAATTCCTGGATGATCATCATTGCTCGGGATATTAATGATAACATATTTCTTATTTTTATTGATCTGTCTATTTTAAAGAGAAGTCCAATTACCTGCGGACAAAATTACAGATCTATCTTAAATTTAGTACGGTTGGGTTTCCTAATTATTAATTCCTAATAAGCCGGTGCTTTCCTGAATTGAATATGTGACGGGTGTTTTCATTACAAATTCGAGCGTGTCTTCTTGTTTTTTTAGATGAATTGAGTTTGTTTGGGTATATTTGTTAAATCCACATAAGCTAATACAACGTACCATCGATAAATCTCTGTATAACTCTTCGAAACAAGATATAAGTAGAATGAGTGTTTGTTGCAAGAATATGTTTATCATATGTGCTTTGTGGCTACTATTATTATACAATTGATTTTTAACCCCAATGTGGGTAAAATATTGAGGAGGAGCTCACGCCAGTGTCGATCCGTAAGCGAATCAAGCTATATAATGTTCTTCATCCTTGCATGTTCTAATCGTATACGAACTTTAAGTGTTTCCGCTGGTTTTCCTTTTAAAAACAAACTTTCATAGAATCAATGAGATTAGCAACTAATACTGTTAACGGAAACCTATAGATATACTTGGTTTTTAAGCGCGACGGAAGAAACTATGATATTGAAGCATAATTAATAATAAAGGCAAATAGCATTTTAAGTCTAGTGCGTCTTTGCTTTGCTTCCTTGATACTGTATTAGAGATACCACACAAAGAAGACATGAAAAAAGGTACTCGGGGCTATCCTCCGTAGTAAAATCTGGAAGTTACGCAAACACACTGACCATTACAAGTGCCTGATGTGACTTTATGATAAGACAAAAACATAAATTCGTTGTTTACAGCAGACATGCATCCAGATTCAAGATATTCTATCATATAATCGCGGACGTACTGGCTCACAATGTTAATTGTAATTACTGAAATTCTTGTATGATATTTAGTTAGGAGAGAGAGTTTTGTAGTGACATTTATATTGGTTTAAAAACTGAAATAGTTATGTATGAAATATTGTCTCGATAAGGGTGGTAGTATCATGTGGAGTTCATGCAGTTTAATAGCAGATATTTTTAATTAGTTTTTAACCACAGGTGATAGGTAGTCGAGACCTCGGGAAGAAATATCGACCAGATTGATACAACATCTGTGTTTCATACAATATTTTAAAAAATATATAACATGAGCAAATACTGGCCCAAAAACTTAGACTCACTCCGAAGTGGACAGAATGGCCGGCAAGTGAAGCGGAAAAGAGGTGATAACCATAGGTAAAGAGAAAGAGAATGTACATTCACTATTGGAATTTCGGATCTAACGCGAACGGTGTTGTATTTGAGATGACTCTACCGCACAAGTCTAGGTGGTTTTCAGCTTGGTCTATGGGTCAACTTTTAGCGAGCGAATGTCGTGCGCGTGGCAGTGCGTGATCGGAGAGTGACAAAGTGCGGTATGTGGTTTGAATTTATCAGGTCCGACGTGGGCAACGGAGTTGTATATGGGTTCGAAGAGCCAACCAGTGGTGAACGAAGGTTTACACAAAGTATAAGGCGACATGGAGGACTTAGTCTGTAAATAACACAGAGTGAGCAGAGTCGTGCATCATGTGAGGAGACAGAACATTCGGAGGAGGTCATTGCGAGCATTCTAGTCATCAATATCACACTATAGGCCTACACAGTATGGTTCATTCTGTGTGGTCGTTAGATAAGGCTAGAAATGTGCATAGGACAATTTGCTGCCGTACCTAAGCCTGTACGGGGTCTGTCATTGCTCGCCATATGTATCTTATGGTAGCTGAAAGATTATTGAGAAGAAAAATGAATATTAACATTATCGTTTTATTGTGGGCCTGATTTGGTGACCCAATGTGTCCTTAGAATATTATTTGTTCGAGGGCTACTGATTTTCATCGACTAATGTACACTAAACCTAGGTGATATAAACACTGGCTTTACTTCTTCTTCAAGTTATTCATTCACACAAGGTTTAACATGAAAATGATTAATGGGTTACTTGACCTTGACACTATCGACTCAAGCTTATTCATCTAGTCCGCCATACCAAAAAGAATTAAAGCACTGAAGTACTTAACTGAAAGTCATAATCATTGCTGTGTATAATATACTTATCATTTTGTGTCATAACAGCCAGTTTGATTTTAAACCTACTGAACCTCGAAAACATACTGGGACTCATCTTCTGACCAAGATCAATGTCCCTAAAAGTGATATCAAACGTCATCATGCACCAAAGCTTTTTTTCTTCAAAGTTTTAATTATGAAGGCCTTCAATGAAGTATGAATGTTTCCATCTGTGTATTGCTAGGTGCAGAGTCGATAGATGAGTTAAAGAAATCATTTTTGAAACATACCGTTAAATGGATTCTGCAGTAATAGATAATATTGAAACAAGTCATAATTGAGTTTCAGATGATGCTGATCCATGATAAAATAACATGATCT